AAGGGAAGGAAAATGCAAAGCTTGGGAGGGATTAGGAGTTGGCCGGCGACATATAGAGCCACGACGGCATCCATGACGACGACGACGGAAAGCATGAGAAAAGTGGCGCAGGTAGTAACGGTAGCAGGATCAGATTCCGGGGCAGGAGCAGGAATCCAAGCGGACATAAAAGTCTGCTCAGCTCGTGGCGTCTATTGCGCTTCCGTCATAACCGCCGTCACAGCTCAGAACACTCACGGCGTTCAATCCGTTCATCTTCTCCCTCCGGAATTCGTCTCCGAGCAGCTAAAATCAGTCCTTTCCGACTTGCAAATCGACGTCGTAAGTAAAGCTCTTTTCATTACTCTTTCTTTCTTGATGATAACTGTCTTCTTCACACACAGGTGAAGACTGGGATGCTTCCTTCTCCTGAGATCGTTGATGTTCTTTTACAATCTCTTTCTGAGTATCCAGTTCGTGGTTAGAGAAACAAAAAAAAACATACTCTCACTTGTTTGTTCTGTTTTTTTTTTTTTTTTTTTGGATTTGAAAGGTTGTGTTTTTTGAACAAGGTAGCTTTGGTTGTTGATCCTGTGATGGTGTCTACAAGTGGACATGTTCTTGCTGGTTCTTCTATCCTCTCCATCTTTCGGTAAAAAAACACTTCTTTAAAAAAAAATTCTATGTTTGTGTTTAAGGCATCATCTGAGTATTGTTTTCTAATTTGCAGAGAAAGATTGCTTCCAGTTGCTGATATAATAACACCTAATGTGAAAGAAGCTGCTGCTTTGCTTGGTGGTGGTGTTCGGATTCAGACTGTTGCACAGATGCGTTCTGCTGCTAAGTCGTTGCATGATATGGGTCCTAGGTTTCCATTTTCTCTCATCCTTCCTTCTGCATCTGTTTCCTTGGCAGTTATAAAATTTTCTTCCTTATTAGGTTTGATTGATATGTGGTCTCATGCTTGGTTAGGAGCATTATTGTGTGATCCACTTGTCTTTTTACATATTCCAGATTTGTGCTTGTCAAAGGTGGTGATCTTCCTGACTCATCAGATTCAGTAGATGTTTACTTTGATGGTATGACACACCTCAACGCTCTTCTTATATTTGTTTTCTTGATGCCGGATTTAAACTCATATACATACATGTGGGACTATTCTTTTATAGGAAAGGAGTTTCATGAACTCCATTCTCCTCGTATAACTACAAGAAATACTCATGGGACTGGTTGCACTTTGGCTTCATGTATTGCTGCAGAGCTTGCTAAAGGCTCTAACATGCTCTCTGCCGTCAAGGTTTACTTCCTTACCGAATACATTTCCTTCTCCTACTAGTCTGTGCTCCATGGCTTCTTGGGATTGAGAACCATCTGTTTTTGGATTAGAAAACTGTATCCACAAAGCTAGCTAATCGCAAGTCCCGGGCCTCTCTCTCTAATGTTGGCAGGTGGCTAAACGCTTTGTGGATAGTGCCCTGAATTATAGCAAAGATATCGTGATCGGTAGTGGGATGCAAGGACCCTTTGATCACTTTTTGCGTCTTAAGAAGAAGGATCTCCGACAAAGCACATTCAATCCAGATGACCTGTTTCTATACGCTGTTACAGATTCTAGAATGAACAAAAAATGGAACCGTTCCATTGTGGATGCAGTGAAAGCTGCTATAGAAGGAGGAGCCACAATCATACAGCTGAGGTTTACGTCTTTTGTCGATTCAACACATCTCTTATGGAACCTGTTATATGACAATCTCAGCGCTTTTGCAGGGAGAAAGAAGCTGAAACTCGAGAGTTTCTCGAAGAAGCAAAATCATGCGTTGAAATATGCCGATCCAACGGAGTTTGTTTGCTGATAAACGACAGGGTCGACATTGCCCTTGCTTGTGATGCTGATGGAGTCCATGTTGGCCAATCAGACATGCCTGTTGATCTAGTACGGTCTCTTCTTGGTCCAGACAAGATCATAGGGGTCTCATGTAAGACAGAAGAACAAGCCCACCAAGCATGGAAAGATGGTGCAGACTACATTGGGTCAGGAGGAGTTTTTCCAACGAACACAAAGGCCAACAACCGTACCATAGGACTGGATGGACTCAAAGAAGTATGTAAAGCATCAAAGTTACCTGTGGTTGCCATTGGAGGCATTGGAATCTCGAACGCTGAGTCTGTCATGAGGATAGATGAACCGAATCTAAAAGGAGTAGCGGTTGTCTCAGCTTTGTTCGACCAACAGTGTGTTTTGACTCAAGCTAAGAAGTTGCATAAAACGCTTAGAGAGAGCAAAAGGGAACAACAATGAAGACCCCCCCCCCCCCCCCCCCAAAAAAA